TTTTTTATGCATAGGGTTGAAAGTGAAGATACCAAGTGCATGGAATGCTCCTTACCTCAAGAATGATGTCTAAATGCAGAAGATGAATAACTAATCATACCTCGAATGTATATAAGAATAAAAACCTGTCATGTGCGGAGACGAAGTTAGTAAAGAAAAATGCCCCTTTTGTGTCTTAAACACGGGACGCCTAGCCTCACGGGTGGGATGCTAAGGGAAACATGTCCTAGGGCTAGTATCTCTTTAAGGCCATTACATGCTTTCCTAAAGGGCATTAGGCCTTCTCAACCATTTATCCTTTCAGAATCAATGGGAGATATTTCCAAAAGCTAATACACAGAATGATATTACATCATCAGGTGTCGTATTAACCAATGGAAGCAACCTAATGGGAACCGATCTTACTCCTCAAAGCGGGAAGAATTGCTCTTCCAGGCCAGATTCGTAAGGATTCCAGACTAGAGGTCAGGTTCACCTCCGACACAGACCTAATGCAAAATGAGAGTGGGTGTGTGCAAGGGGCATGACACTTCAATAACCTGCACAATGGCAACCACAAAAATAACAACATATATCCCACAGCAATCAAATAATGCATGTAAAACACTCAACAAATATATCACCCACAAACAAACCTACTTACACGGTAGGAAGGGACTCACCTAGTACTCCCATGCCAAATGCAAAAGGTTAGTAATACAAAGCAACCGACACTTAGCATGCAACAAGATATAAATAATCGCACAAGAGGGAAGAGACTCAATGAATACTCCATAGCCAAGTGTAAAAGGTGAGTATATCCACACACAAACAAGCAAGCATATAGGCATGATGCATGATGAATAAGCATGTTATATCGATGATGGATGAGCATGTGAGATGATATGATGCATGAACATGTGAGCAAGGTATGATGCATGTCAAGATATAGCAAGATAACTATTCAAAGACAAAACAATCAAAGTAACCACTAAAACAATGAGCAAACAAGCAATAAGCAACAGGCAACACACAACAAGCACATACAACAAATGACAAAGACCCACACAGACTCAAAAAACAAAGAAAATCAAAAGTTGAAAAAATTCCCCAAAGTTAAAGTATTAGCTCGACCCTTGTGAACCCAGAATATGAAAACCAGAGATTCTAGGTTCTTTCCCCAGTGGAGTCGCCAATCTGTTGACGACCACTTAAGATTTTTTTCAAAATAAATTGAAAAATCAAGTGTGAAATATATAACAAAAAGGGAGTCGCCACTCGTCCAAATTATAAGGTGGGACAAGTCACCTAAAACGGGTCTGCACAGAGATCGGGGTTCGGGGGTTCGGTTAGGAGTGAGGAAGGGCATACGCGCACCTCACAATCCTCCGTTTAAACATGGTTGCATACTTTAAAATTTGGGGGTTTGATTCAACTTATTCATTATGTTTGTATTTAAGTCTTAATAAGCAAGCTTGAAAGAAGGGTAAACCAAATTGAAACATTTTTTTTAATTTTTGGGCTAAAATGGACAAAATCAAAGACAAGCATGCATCAATAACATAAATAAGAAGTTAAGGGACTAACTTGATTAAATTCGAAAACATGAAGGACTGATTAAAAAAATTCAAAACTTTGGGACTGAATTGCTTAATCCTGAAAGTTCTGGGTAAAATTGAAACAAGGAAAGATAATTTTGCCTTTTTAGCCAGATTAAAGGAAATTAAGGACTTAAATTAATTAACTAAGATAATTGATTTAATTCAATGATTAATTTATCATTAATTAAAATTAATTAAAATTAATTAATCATATTTATAAATCTTTTTAATCAAGATAATTAAACAATATAATCATCTTAAATTAAGATCAATAAAAATGATTAATTTATTTTAATTAAAGTTAATTAATTTTATTAATCATAAACTAAATTAATTGTCCTAATTAATTAATCCTTTTTATTTACATTATATAATTTTTTTTACTTTTTGTTTTAGTTTTTTTTTTTACTGGACTGGGTCGGGTTGGATCGAACCCGCAACAAAACACAACCCAAAAACACAATCCTTCAAATAGATAAACACAAAACAGATCAAATCTTGAACAAAAATCGAAATCCAAACGACCTGAAGAGAACAAGAAACACATTCATCAGGTAAAATAAACAGAACAATCTTTTTTGATTTTTCATTCATTTTCCAACGAAACACATACAAACTTAAACCCAGATCTAAACAAAATCAACAGAAAATAACAGAGACACCCACGGCGGAATTTTTAAGAGGAGGTAGATCCAGATCGGAAGGGAGGGATCCCACCCACGGGACCAGGCTCCGTTCGTCTCCTTCACTACCCCTTCCCAAAAATCCCTCTGTTCAGGAGATTACCTAAACAGAAGCAGACACAGCGAACAAGCCCTCCGTCAACCTCCGGTACAAAAACCGAGCCCCTTTCAACAGAAAACTTTTCCTTTCTTCCGCCGGCAACACCAGAAAAACAAAAAGGCTCCTCCGCCGTCAACACCAGAACCACACAACAAAAGGCCTCGGCCTCAATACCAGAAGAAATCCCCTTCTATTGCTCTCGAAGCTCAGCCGAAACTCCCCAACCAAAACAGACCCAAAATCAACCAACAACCCCCCCTTCTGATTTTTTTTCATATATATATACCCAAATAAAAAATAAAATAAATAAAAAGACTTGCTCCTGTCAATCAGTAATGATGAAGATTTCGTCTGGCATGTA